CCAAAGCTCTGGCATGTTTATGTCCTGTTTTCCAGTCCTTTGAGGGCAGGCCAGACCCATAATACAATGTTCACTGTGATCCTATGTCTAGATAATTATTTATGGGGCTATTTAGTGAAATACTGTTATAGTACATAAGAAAAAGGGGCTGTGAATCTTCTTTAATGACTTTAAAATTCAGGTACTTACTCCTTCTTTGCTCAAATGGAGCAAGAAAGGATATTAGTCCCTGAACAATGAGTCTTGATACATCATTACAAGTCCTTCCATTCAAAGAGGCCTGGGTTACTTTATGAAATACTACCAAAAGCATGGTACCAGTCAACTATTAATCTAGTTTCTTCTTTCTAATAACATCCTATGGAAATTATACTGGTAAATCCCTTGAATTTTATAGCCATGAATTATTATGTTATGAATGTTTAAATATAAAGAATATTGTAGCTTTCTCTACTGGCAGAATCACCACTGCAAGGATACCTTAGTCTACAAGTTATATAATTGCTTAGCAATCCACCCTGTACAGTATGCTCCTAATTATCTAGGTTCAATAGAGAATACATGCTGACTTCCAAGGACTTGTTGAAGCAAATATGTAGACTATGACTAATTAGAGGGCTCTGTAATACTTTCAATATTAGAATATCATATTAGTTTCAACTCTACAGGGTATAAATTTGTCATGTGGCTCCTCTGCTAAGTGGCATTTGCAGATAGAGGCATGTTTTATAGTGCTTATTAAGAGAAAAGGATTTGGAGTCAGATCAATTTGGTTTCAAATCTTGTCTGCCGCAGAGCAGCTAAATGACCTTGGACAAGTTAATTAACCCCTCTGGGAACTCAGTAAAATAAAGAATACTACTACTACTCAACTAACAGAAGTTGTTATGAAGATTACATAAGTTTATGCATATAAGGAGCCTAATACAGTGCCCAGCACATGATAGGTAATAAAAGGTTATTATTTTTATTGCTTTGTTATCAGATTTGTTGAATCAAACTCTTTCATCTCTCAGTCACATCTTGCTACCCTAATAGCAATGTTTCTGTACTGTAATAAACCAGACTTTGGCTTCTACCCATGACATGGAGAGAGGAAGGGATGCATCACCCATGGCCATTTCCATTGCTCTACTACTTTCTCTTCCTAGTATGTGAAAGCAGTTTACAATGGTAGATGGGCTCCAAAATAATGAACTCCATGATGAGTAAAGTGGTTTTTTTTTCAACTACTAAATATTGTTCTGACTGTATCAATGGCAGGGCTAATTGTACTCTATTCTTTGAACCCAGGGAGACCATATTTGGTTAGGACTGCCTTTGGTCTTAGAAGGGAGTTAAGTTTGCTACCAGATGCTGTTCTCTATTCTTGAAGTCTGGTAAAAAATAGTGTGGCATATGTGGTTTAATCCTGAATCCTTCCTAAAGCCTCAGTTAATTTTTTGGCTATCTCAAGTGGATTTTTTGGTTCGTTCGTTTTGTTTTTGTTTTGCATTAATCTTATAGTAACCCATAATTTAGATCAGAACTTCTTCTAGAATGAACAAAAGAGCTCACTGTTTTTGTGATTTTTGGTACTAGGGATTGAACCTAGGGGTGCTTAACCGCATCCCCAGCCCTTTTTATGTTTTATTTGAGACAGGGTTTTGCTAAGTTGCTGAGGGTGGCTTTGAACTTGAAATCTGCCTCAGCCTCCTGAGCCACTTGGGTTATAGGCATGCACCACTTAGCCCAGACAAAGCTCACTTTTGACCTAGTCTCCTTTCAGCCTCGTGGGATGACCATTCAAGTTTTCCCTGTGTGGATGTGATCAGTCTGGATGCTGTTTCACACTGATCCTTGGTATGTGGATGAAACAGTGGTTCCCATCAGCAATAACGAAGAGAACAAAATAAATTTTTTATTGATAACTTTATTATAGAAAGCCCTCAATGCCTCTAAGATATTTAGATGTTCTTCGATATTTAAAATTTTGAGAGGTAAAGCATTTAAACACTCATGAACAGTAAGTAAATAATACTTCTGAGCTTCTGAGAATTGCTAATCTACTATTTGTTTATTGGAAGAGTATGTGCCATATTGCAGCTTAAACTTTTGTGTAACTAGGCTCCTTATAGAGCTTCTACTCAGACTCAGGTAGTAGCTACTGAAGTTAGACATCTGTATAATTTGTTTCTTCTCACCTCGTGCTGTAAATTGGACAACTAATGAAAAAAAAATCTGTTTTCAATATTGGAGAGAGGAATGTTTTAGCTCATTTATTTATTTTTTACTGGTTGGTATTTTGGGGGTAGATATAGGCTCTGGATTTAACTCTAAATTTTATGTAACCACAATAAGAATGGGGCATTGGAACTAAAGAAATGCAACTGGATTTTCCAAGAGATTAATCCATTTCCTTATGAATAAACTAAATTCTTGCATATATTTTCAGAGCCAATATCTTTAGAGCCTCTGGACTTTGTTAACCAGCTATCTACCATATGTTTGGCCAATGAATTGAGCAGTAATGAGATTTGTGTAGTTTTGGAAATTCTAGACTCTCAATTTTGCAACAATAGAGATTCACTTTTCAGATTGTAAAGTGTTTTAGAGTGTAATCAGCCAGCCAAATAAAAGTGCTTTTGAGTGGAAATCTTTCAATGGAAACATTATAAAATTCAAGCTTTCTGTTATATTTAAACAGAAGAGCAAATTATAAGATCACAGACAGTTCAGTCTCACTAGAATCATACAAGTTACCAATGACAGCTAGGCCCAGTGACAAGTGCCTGTAATCTCAGGGAATAGGGAGACTGAGGAAGAAGGACTACAAATTCCAGGCCACCCTGAGAAACTTAGCAAAAAAAGGACTCAAAATAAAAAAGAAAATAAGACATAAAAAAGAAAAAGGACTGGCTATGCAGTTCAATGGTTGAGCACCCCTGTGTTCAATCTCCAGTACAAAAAAAAAAGTTAGAAATGAGAAATCAAATGAATAGTTATAAAGTGTTTGTATTCTTCACAGTGGAAGAATTATAGGCAATGATTTGAACATCTCAGATCTAGTCCCCCTCTGTTGAAAACAGAAGAATTGCAACAGTATTCTGACATTTTATTATTAAGTAATATGTTAATTCTTAACTTTAAAATATTATTCTGTATTTCTAAACATACAGTGAAAAGAGTTATTCCTGGTGAGAAAGAAGAGGAAAGTATGTCCTTTAATTTTAACTATCTTAAGAATGATCAGTTTGTTAACTTTTCATTGAAAGAATTTATGGAAGGGATGTAAAATCATAGACAAAAAGAAAAATTAAGATGAATAAGACATAATGATTTGGGGTTTTTAAGCATATCATCATATGTTTCTGACAATTTCAAACTTATGCTTTTTGTCTTAAGATTTACTAATAACTTACTACAATTAAATTGTACAACTAAACCACTGAATATTTTAATTATACTAAACCAATGGTTATCCTCCACATAGTTCAAAGTGGACATAAATGTGTAGCAGATGCAGTAGATGTTCTCCTAATTACATAGGGCTGCCTCATACATATCCTTAAATGTGAATTGTTGCTCTAATTGGTGGCCAAAGGCATGTCCATCTCCAAAGGTCACTGGAATTTTTTTTCTAGTCCCTTCCTCCTAATACATATAATAGTGGAATCAAATACTCCTTTTGGTCTAAGTTCTTCTGTCCTTCCTCTCCAGGCAGGGAAGGAAGAAAGGCAGGAAGAGTATAAGAAATAAGATGTCTGGGAAAATATGGATTAAAGGTCCTGTTTCAGGTTTCAGATATCTCTGGAATGGAGGCATCTAAGAGGTTTTCTTTGTTTTTGTTTTTGTTTTTAGAATCAGGTTTCATGATCAGAAATTGATCTGTGAATTGCTTTTATAGTAATGGTGAGTTGAAAGAGGCTGGACCAGGTAACTCACAGGTAAGTTAAGAGCCTGTAGAAATATGTTCAAATGTAATTTCTAGCTTTCTTTATCATATTAAAGTTTTATGATGTCACTTAATGTGGTTAAATTTGATGGGGTCAAAAGTCACATCATCTTAATTATCATCAAATTATAATCACTAATCGATTCAGAGCCAAGAGTACTAAACATGGATGGCAGGTTATATAGCTCAGGGTAAACACTTTTAATTTAGGAGTCAGAAAGTCTACACTGGGATTACACAGGCCACAGTGGGTGTGGGGAGCATGTTGGATGTCTAGGCAATGGTTGAGGTTAGAGCTGGGTGGGAGTGTGCCTTTCTCCCATGGGTGACAAGCAGGGTTAAGAGTGAGTGGAGTATCCGGCGCTTCTGTGAATACTAATTCTAGTTTTCTCATTTAAAATGTTATTTTCCGTGTTTTTCAGTTCTACAATTTTACTAATGAAATTCTTTACAAGCCTGAAGAGCTGAAGAGATGTCAGTCAGCTTGGCCTGGCACTGAATCATTATGTAATCATCCTGTTACTGTGAGAAAGCATTTTCCTAAATAATAAAGTGATTTATAAGCTAACATTTAGAAACAAATTTTTAGGAATTACCTACATAGCTTTTATTTCCATAAATAATACAATTTGAAGGAAAAGCCAACAAACACCAAAATCCCTCTCCTTTCAAATAGAAAGCTTAAATATGTATTTTTCTTATCCTTTTTATTTGTCAAGTATTAGAATGGATTCTTTTTTTCCATGTACTGAAAAACTTTCTGACTTTGCAGCTAGCTTATTAAAGCACAGTAAAAACACTTAAAATCTTTTTCTAACCTTCATTATCACAGTAGAGGACACTATTCTTAAATTAAAATTGTCAATAAGAAATTTAATCTTCTTAATATGAACTTCTTTCCTTTATACATGGAAAGCAATTTTCCTTCCCATCTATATAGCAGTTTCATTTATCATAGAATCAGAAGAACATATTTTGTACAATAATCTTATAAACTTATAATTATGTAATTTTTCTAAACTTAATAAGTATATACTTGTATTTTTTTAGAAAAATTCATTCTTACCTTGTCAGAAGGTTTGAATGGATTTCCTTGTCCACTAATTCCACCACTGATACTAAATCCAAGGCCAGGATTCTTTTCTATTCTCACACAAAACTATGTAAAAAAAGGTTAAAAAAGAGTAATCAAATAGTTATCAAAGCTAAACATTTTCAAATAACTTCATCCAAGTAGAAAAGATTCATATTGCACCAAGTTCTTAGGATCATCTATATTGACCTGTGTAAACTGACAAAATTTGTTGGGTGTTTATATAACAGTTATGATGAAAATAACTTAAAATTACCTAGGTAAGTAGACATCTTTATGCACTTATTTATTACCATCTGTATAAATGAATTTTGATTAATAGGTTTTAAAAATCAAAAGTCTTATAAACATTTAAGAGATCATGCATTACTTTAGCAACCTATCATAAATGCACATGTATTTAGTTAATTAGAATGAATGGCAGGGATAATTGGAAGAAAGCTCTCAAATGCAGAATGAGGATAAGGTACTCCTGCTTTCTAGTAAGGTAGTATAGTTCTTCTCCTTAATAGATTATTATATTATTCAGGAATATTAGGGTTTTAGAGAAACAGGCCATAGCTGGAGTGAAGGTGAAATGGGAGGAATGAGGTGCTCAGTAAATAGTTTCAGACTCGGCAGCAGCTTCTGGAGTAGGAGTTAAGAACCTTGGAAGAAAGTAGACATTGTGAAGAAGTCAAAGAAAGAGGTCAAGAATATGGAGATATTGGGCTGGGTTGTGGCTGAAGTGGTACAGTGCTTGCCTAGCATGCGTGGGGCACTGGGTTCGATCCTTAGCACCACATAAAAAATAAAATAAAGATGTTGTATCCACCTAAAACTAAAAAATAAATATCTTTTTGAGAAAGAATATGGAGATATTGATTATGACAGGGAATGTTAAAATAGGTGTTCAGGACTCTGAGGGCAAGTATTCTAACATTCTGTGTTATGTTATTCACCTGCCCCCACACCCCAAATCATCTGTACAAGCCTGTTAAACACTGGAGCCTTGTGTTTTATAGTACCAAGGGGAATAATGGCATTAGGAGTAGAATTGCCTTGGAGTAAGGCTATAGTAAAAATGTTATCAATCATTAAAGTCAATACAGACCAGATCAAGAATTCAGTAGAAAGGCAATCAGCGCCAGGGATAACCTAGAGAATTCCTGGTGATCCTGAACTGGGAACATATGTGAGCTGTGGTAAAAATGCTAGCTCTGCATATAAAGTGGGACAGAATGACCCCAGATGATTGAAAGCCTTGGGACCAAGAGGCTTGGTTACATAAAGAAAAAAAAAACTTTTATACATTTTAAGTACAGAATAAGTACTGGAATAAGGTGAATCAAGTGTTACAGAGGTTTGCAGGCAAAGGATTAATAATTAAGAAAAAATAAAAAGAAACACATTAGCATATATTTTGTATTTATATAAACATATACTGGAAACATTCTTAAAGATGATTGGAAATATTTGCTTTCTTAAGAAGCTTAATGTTTTCTCCTGACATTCTTGCTTAGCCTAGTAATTAGTTTAATGCAAATGCCCAAAACATTCTGTGTTTTTATTTTCAAGGTATCTTTTAATCCCTACCTCTTAGGCACTTCAAGGTAAACATAAATCCTATTCCTGACTTAATTAGCACATATCATGAGTCACTGGAAACTAGATTCATTTGGCTTGTCTCCTTAATGTGACCATCTGTAATTCATTGTCATAGTTCATAATAGTAAATATAATGTTTATTACATAGTTCACTTGCAACGCAAAAGCAAAAAGTCATTTATACCAATGTGATTTTTTATGGTAGAGTCATAGTCATTAGTGAAATTTCTAAAGTATGGGTAAAAGCGATTACTAAAAGTAATCTTTCGTATCTTTTTTTTTTTTTTTTTTACAGCACTGAGGATTGAATCTAGAAGTGCTGTACTACTGAGCTACATCCTGAGTACATTTTTTTTTTTTTTAATTTTGAAACATTGTCTCCTTAAGTTGCCCAGGCTGTCCTTGAACTTGCAATGATGCTGCCTCAGCCTCTCAATGGCTCATCTTTTCTGTGTAAAGATACAGTTAATTACAACTTTTCTTTCAATTGTACTAGATTTGTTAAAACTATTAATCATAGAATAGTAGCAACGACAATTTATAATAGGTTATGTTTATATGGCTCACAGTCTATGCTTATGAACATATAATAGCTTGATTTAGCTGACATATTTTAGCTTCATTCAATATATTAGTTTACCTTTCTTCTTATTGTTTGTTAATTGGAAAATGAGAAGAAAGCAACCAATATGCTTAAAACATTTTTATTTTGTGTCTGCCCATCTATGTATTTCTAATTAAATTATTTAAAATTTGGTTTATATCTTTCTCATGTGAAAATCTCATGTTGCACAACATGGGAAGGTATATGTTCTCCTTGCTTTCCCCAGGCCACTCTAAAACCCGAAAAGAAACAAATGCAACAGATTTCATTTACACAGAAATTGCTGAGAGTTTTTTCCAGTCATTTTTTTGTGACTATATCTATTTTATATTATTGTAAATCTTGAAGGCACTAAAAATCTGAGGAAAACAAATTTCATATGTGCCAAGTATTTGAAGAACTGTCTCAATATATTTTTTAATAATAGAAATAATAAAGATGACACTGTGGTTTTATAAATATGACAAACATAAATTCTTATCTGAAGCTAGACTACTCTTGGGCATGCTAAGGTATGGCTAATAGGTTGTGCTGTGACTACTGGGTCTCATAAAGCATGTCAGGAAGAGTATTCATCTCACATATAAGGAGTTCCACCTGTCTGCCAAGGCCCAGAGAGGCCATAAAATGTTAAGAGAGAGAATACCTCCCAGCCAAGAAGCAGTCTGAAATCAAAGACGATTTGCAAAGAGGACAGGAACATTCTAGCAAAAGGTCAAGTCTAGGAGTTAATAAATAGCTTATTTAGTGACAATCAATATTTCAATTTTCTTCTGACAACAGAGAATGAAATTTTTGGTTAAGCAATCAAGGGTGCATTTTCTTCCTTTAGCATTTCTTTCTATTACTTCCTTTCACTTGAAACTTCTGGTCTGTGTTAATCTTACTTTAATTAAAATACTGGGTCTTATTTTATGGAGACCTTCATGATAAAATGGATTATTGTGTCATAGTAAGGCCTGGTGAGGTCATAATCTATGTAGAAACCAGTGCTCTGACTTGGTCCCACGATGATCTAAAACCTCACAGCAAGAATAAAGGAAATGTGTGTGTGTGTGTGTGTGTGTGTGTGTGTGTGTGTGCGCGCGCGCGCGCGTGCGTGCGCACGCTCGCGCGCGAGCAAACGCACAAACACATGCATGTGTTTTGGGAGGTATAATTCAGGATTAGGGAAATATTACAGAAAAATATCTGGTGATACTATGATAAATTGATTTCCTAGTGGCCATTCTCTTTCTCAGCTGTATGTATTATAAACTTTTACTGTGTACTTGTTTTTGCTAACTAAGATCCATTCATTGGTCTACCTTAATCTGTTTGAAGAACCATTCACTCCCATATTCTCAGCCTGTATGCTTTGGATGAGTCATGTTATCTAGACCTAAAACAAAGTAAAAAATGTGATTGTTTACAGGATGGGCAAGTAACCCAATCACAAAGGAGGAATGAGAAGCCTATTAAGATTTCCAGGAAAGAAATCTTGCTATTTCTTGCTAGTTTTGAAACTTGCTAGTTTTTGTAAGAGATTTGAAACTCTTACAGCTATCTTTCAAGCATGAGGAGAAAGTCTTTTTGACACAGGAACCAACCCATGGAAACAGAAGTCCAGAGTTCCAGTGAGCCTGTATTATCTTCTCTGAGACCTGCCTATCCTTGCAGTTTCAATTTACATGAGTCAAAACATTCTCTTTTGGCATAAGCCTTATTGAGTTGAGTCCTTGCAATCAAATGTCTCAGGTGGTTAAAAAAATATATAGGAGAGGTAGCAAAAAAAAAAAAAAAAGATCCTGTTTAATACAACTTGATCAAATAAAGAATCCAATGGAAAAAAAATTAAAAAAAAAAAATAAATATTATCTAAAAAAAATATATAGGAGAGCCTTGCTTAGTTGCAAATATCAAAGAAGACTTTCTTTCCTATTATTTTTTTTTTAAAGAAACAATACACTTGTTTTAAAATCTTCTTGGGAAGTAAAACAACTCGAACCTAAATATTTTATACTGTGTGAAATTCTAGTCATCATGGAAATGTAAATCAAAATCACAATGAGATACTATTTCATAGGATGCCTATAATAAAAGTCTCAAGTAGGCATGTAGAGAAACTGGAACAGTCATTTATTGCTACTGGCAATGTATGTTGTAGCTACTTTAGAAATTTAGCTGTTCCTCAGAATGATAAATATAATTTCCATATGACCTGGAAATTTCACTCATATTTATCTATCCAAGAAACATGAGAACATACAAATCTGTACATGAATGATCATAGCAGCATTATTCATAAAAAGTGAAAAATAGAAACAACCCAAATGTCCATCAACTGATAAATATATAAGCAAAATATGGTATATCTATACAATGGAATATTATTTGGCCATGGTAAGCAATGAAGGATTGATACAAGCTACAATGAGTACATCATGTGCAGTGAGAGAAACAAACAAGTCACACACACACACAAAAAAACCCACATATTGCATGATCTCATTTATATTAATTGTCCAGAATGGGACAATTCTATTCAGAGACAAAGTAGATGAGTGGATGGCTAGGCTAGAGGGAAGGAATATTGAAAGTGCTAGTGAGTGCAAGGATCCTTTTTAGAACGCTGATAACATTATAAAATTAGTTTGCAATGATGGTTGCCAAACTGCATAAATAAGACAAAAATTAAATTACTGGTATATATTGAACAGGTGAACTTTAGGGTATGTAAATTCTATCAATAAAGCTGTTAAAAAATAAGATCGGTAGGACAGAGAACAGCTAAGGAAAGACCCAAGGAAGGGGTAGGCAGAGGTCAGATCTGTAGGGACACTGTAATATAAGGATTTGAAATTTATTCAGAAATTTGGGAATCCAGTGGAGGGTTTTAAGCAGAAGAGTGATATGATATGGTTCATATTTTGAAAAAATAACTAACAGTGGAGAATAAATAAAAGAGTAGTAAACTGGAAGAAAAGAAAGCAATTAGGAGGTTTTGGCAGTAGTTAGAGGTTAGGTAATAGCCAACTGAGGTGGTGGTACAGGTGATGAGAAGGGTGGATTCAGGATACATTTGGATGGAATTGCTTTGAAATGGACGTGGGCCATAAGAAAGGGGAATCAAGGATTTTGGGTCATAGCAAAATGGTCAATAGAAGAATCATTAATGGTATGGAGAACTCTGGAAAGAAGTGGGTCTGGTAGGAACAAGGGCAGGGACAGGTATTTGATAGTTCACATCATTTTAAGTGATATAAAAAGAAAAACTTGGAAAGATTTCTTTTATTAAATTACAGGGTTTTTTCAAAACTACAGTGAGTTGTCATCTCATCCTGGTTAGAATGACTGTTATTAAAAAAATAATAACAAATGTTAGGATGTGGAGGGAAAAGAACTGCCCTATAATGTAGGGTGGATATGTCTTTTAGTATAATATATGGAGAACAGTATGGAGGTTCCTTAAAAACTAAAATACATCTACCACATAATACAGCTGTCCCACTTTGGGGTATAAATTCAAAGGAAATGAAATGAGCATATCGAAGAGAAACCTGCACTCCCATGTTTATTGCAGAACTACTCACAATAGTTAAGGAATCAACCTAGGTGCCCATCAGCAGATAAATGGGTAAAGAGAAGTGGTTTGTATACACATGGAATATTATTCAGTCCTAAAGAAAAATGAAACCCTGTGATTTGCAGCAAAATGGATGGAAATGGAGGACACTGTGTTAAGTAAAATAAGCCAGCCACAGAAAAACAAGTACTGCATGCACTAATATGTGGAAGTAAAAAAAAAAAGCTGATTTGAATATAGAAATTGATTACTAGGAGTTGAGAAGCTGGAGTGGGGTGAGGAAACAAAGAGAGGCTCTGCTTGATCATCACTCTATGCATGCCTTGAAACATTACATGGAACTCCATTAATATTCACAATTAATACACACTAATAAAATACAGATTTTAAATGAAATATAATACATTAACTTAATTAAGATAGTTAGAAAATGTGTATTAAATGATTTTAATATGTTATTTCCTCAAATGACTTCAAATGAATCTCCATATCTCATATTGCCCATTGTAAAGTATTGCTATTTGTAAAGATTTCCCATAGATTTTTATTCTCCAGTTATCACAGTAATACCACACACACACACAAAAGAAAACAAAAAACATTTCAGCTCTAGATTCATAATTCAGTTTGACACAAATAATTTGCACCTCAATACCATAAATTCTATAAATGGATTTTCTAAGTTGTACACAGTTGCATGTACACAATTACAGGTCACACAGAGCAGGAGGCAATGTGTGAGGCAATGCACCTTATAAAAATAAACAAAATAGGGGCTGGGGCTGGGGCTCAGCGGTAGAGTGCTTGCCTAGCACGTGCAGGGCACTGGGTTCAATCCTCAGCACCACATATCAATAAAACAAAGGTATAAAAAAATAAAAATAAACAAAATTAAGGCATGCTGTCCATATACAACTACCAAAAATAAAAAAGTAACTAAATCAGAGAACTGGGTTGAGGTTATAATATTTATGGGATAATAGATATGAATTTTTTTTAACTTTCTAGGATGCCTTTGGTAAAGCATGGTTCCAAAGGATGCCTTTGGTAAAGCATAGATGCTAAAAATTAAATTTTTAGAATCTCTGGAGAATTAAAAACCTCACATCATTAGCTGATGATAAACATCTATGTGGCTATTATATGTGAAATCCAGCTCTTGACTTAGCTCAAGAAAGGAGAGGAAGAGAATTATCTTGGAAAAAAAAAAGTCTGTGATTCTGAGAACGAAAATACATGTTTCAGTATTAAGAAATAGAGGCAATGTTTAAAGAAAGTGGGATCCAAATGATAAGTAGCCCTTAATATAAAGAAAAAACTGGAAATGAAGGTAATCTTGACTGATAGGTTTAGAAAAGATGGTGGGGTGAAATGTAAAGTTTGAGTGAGGAATAAACCTTTTAAAACCATATTAAGGGGTTAGTACAGTCAATGGGAGCTTTGCCTAATTATGTGAAAAATGAAATAAGAGAAATTAATTTTAAGAGAGTCTTAAGGTCTTAATGTCTTTCTTTCTAAGCTTAATATAATTCAATAGATAAGATTATGTTTTCTGGTGCTGAGGAAGAAAAGCAGATTCTACTATGGGAAAAGCATATCCCAATTTTAGATAGGTCAGAAGAGCCGCAAAGTTTTTGCTCCATGGCATTGATCAGTAGTTTTTGGAGCATTTCAGCAGTATTTCTCTTCTAGATATTCTTTATAATGTTCTTATAGCAAAGCTTTATGCTGTTCAACAACCTGAACTTCTAGAAAGTGTTTACCTACAAACGAGGAGGATTAATAACTAACAAATAACTAATAATAACTAACATTTTACACTATTACCCCAGAGGCCTTGGTCTACACACCTCATCCACTAAGGTTCTCTATAATATTCCAAAGCTGTAGAGCTAAACTGGAGTTGGGTGTGAGACAAGATAAAACAATTTTTACCCATTCTTTTTCCTATGTGATGTTGAAAGGGCATTTTACTAACCATAAATTCCTATGTGTTACAGTACTTAACCACTGAAAATCAATAAAATGCCTACAAAGAGTATTCCATCCCATTCAAGATGATGACGTTATGTATCCTGAACCACATTAATAAGGGCAAGCAAACCATGGACTTTTCATATTTCCCTGAAAATTCAACAATAATTTAAAAAGAAAAGGAAAAAAACAATTCTTCTCACCTGCTCTGGATAGCCATCCATACTCCTTTGCCCTTTAGTTTGAATTAAGCACCGTCCAGGCTGAGGTCCCCGAGTGGCCTGTGAAGAGGGGATCTGAATAGGCAATGGTGACTGAAATTGCTGGATGGTCACTTTGTTTATATTTCCTTCATATGGCTGCTGCTCCCGGCTGCGATGCTGCAGGCTTTGGGACCCCATCAAAGTCTGGATGTGGCTGCCTGCCTGTGGAGAAGATAATCTGTCAGGCAAAGCCTCCTGGTGCTGAAAGGATGTGATTAAAGTAGGAAACACGTTCAGAATACCTCTCGGGTAAAGTGGAATCATTTGGGCTTTCAGCCACAGCTGGAAAGGATAATGAAGAAACAGCAAGGGTCTGTCTACTGTGGTTTGTGAAAATGTTAATATTGGAGCAAGGTCGAGTTAAATGTATTTGTAGTCATCTGGTGGTTTGCCAAAGATCATTTTAACCCCTTTTGTAAGGGAACAAAATTCAGTCTGAAAAATCTCAAGTAGTAAAAGAAGTCACTAAACATAAAGCAGAGCTCTATGTTGGCTATTTGACTTAAAAAATAACGTAAATGTCCAATACATGACATCAGGAGGAAAATGATACAAATTCCATTTGTGTCAAATGATTGATCATACAAACGATTCCATTTGTATCATTATGTTTACAAATTTCATCCTTTTCCTGTTTCCTGATTCTGATGCAAAAGAATTGAATTGTTAAGTTTTATGACACAGGTGCATAACGAGCTTGTTTAGGTAAGTATAACCAATGGCATTAATTTTTTTACATTGTTAAATGAAGAGTTTAGTTTTTGGAATCTCTATGCTACATTAAAATTAATCATGTGCTAAATTCCTGTGTTTGTAGACTGTGGAGGCACAAGATCTGGAACAGTCTTCAAAATGAACTCTATACATTTCTTTTACTATTTTTAAGTTCTTAACGATTAACATAAAAAAGTGAAGACATTACAGTGAGAATGGAAAATTTTTTAAAGAAGGAAGTTCAAGAAGTCATTTCAAAAAAATATTCAAAATCATTATTTGACAGTACATAGAGCAAAATAAACACATAGTTGGTTATATTTTAGATGTACAACAGCTGTCTTGGTATTATAATTTCTACATGCAGAGACATTAAGATATTTCAGTCATGAGAAACTGGAGGAAAAGTTGCAAAAAAGAATTTTAGTCTATTCGAGAACAATGTGAAAACAATTTTCAGTCCAACATGGTCTGACACACTTATGCAGTGATTAAAGCACAATAACCACATAAATACAATTCAGATAACCTCATAAAAGACAAATGTCTATTTCTCAATTCTCAGAAACTTTCATGAAAGGACATGTTGCAGACTTTTCAGGGCAAACAATTTTCTGGTCAAGTTTTTCCTTATTACAATGTTCTCTCGTTCGGTAGGACAGGTACCCATGTTAAACCCAGTATCAGATTTTGATCTGCTTTGTTCTGAATGAACTCACAGTTATATAGTTAAAAAAATAATCTGCAGTTAGAGGAGTTGGGAGTGGAGGCTGTTCACTGAGGCTGACTAGGTACTGAGCAGTCTGTGATTGACACCTACTTCTCACCCCCACTGGTATAATTCATGGGTCTCAGTCAGTACTTGAATCACTGGATGGAAGGAGGACTAGAAATGAGACTTAAAGTGATCACATTGATAAGCAAAGATTTTTGCACCATGACAAACTTAGAAGGAAACAAGAACATAGCTTTGGTTCCTTGACAAATAATCCAAACAAGAAAATCAATAATGACTACTTGACTGCTACTTTTCTGATTAATCTGGTAATGGTCTACTCAAGGATGAAAATCTAATTTTTCATATTACAGAACTGCAATACACACTATTTTTCTGTTTGTTTTTCTTCTGATGTGAACTCAGGACAATGCAAATTTTGAATGAAGGAAAAATATCATATCATATTTAGTGTTTTTAATGACTGGCACAGTAACTGCATTTAATAAATAATAGCTTGCATCCAAACACTTGGTACAAAACAGTGTGCTAAAATATCTTAAATATATTACCTCTTGTAATATTCACAACAGCATTACAAAGGAATTATTATTCATTTATACTGAGAAGGAAACCAAGGTCAGGAGAGGTTAAAAAACTTATCCAAGTAATTATACAACTAGTAAACTGGAAGGACCAGCATGTGAAGGCTGTATGACTATGAGAGTTATACTCTTAAACACTGTCATACTGCAACCCTTTCCCTCCAAGTTGGCACCCTCACCTCATAGTTGAACTGTGAACTCAAAAGGAACCATGAAAGGAAACAAGTTCTAGTTGTGGAGGGAGAATATATACAACTTTTTCAGCAGCTCTTGAATTTGCCAAAGGAGGTGAATTAGGTCTATTAGCTCTTTTGGATGCTGTGCATGTGATTTCAAGCTGTACAGTTCATCAGATAGGATTGTGCTTTTGTATTTAGTGATCTTTCTGGTCCTGTGAAGTAACAAAGCAAATGTTCTCAGATGGCTTGGCAAAACAAGAAGTATGAAAGGAACATACTGTTAAGTGATTTTTTTTTTTTTTGCAACAGAATTTCTTTCACTCTTCTGGGCTATAGACTGTAAAAATGGGGATGAGGAATTATTGCTCTACCAAGCAAAGAATTAGTACTAAAATTTGTATAGTCGAACAAACATAAAGGACATAAATATCTAGGGGGATCAATTAGGGAACAGAGAGGTTGCAAAGAAGAGGATTTTTTTTTTTTTTTGCACAAAGACTTAAGAAAGGTAAAAAGGACATTTACAATGAAGTACAAGGGACTAATGAAAACAGAAAATGTCAGAGGCTGGATTTGTTCAAGCAGAGGGTGAATACTGACTCACCCCAAAGAGGAATTGGAACACAAGGGTTTCTGTAAAGACTGTGCTATACATTTTGAATTATAACAGGGAAAAAAGAAGATTTGGCATTTGTTTGGGATTTTCCAGGGTGGATTGGACAAGATAACATGTATTTGAGGAGAACAGTGATACAGTGAGGTATTTTCAAGTTGTCCTCAAAACAAACTATCAAAGTTTACAGGGAAAAACTCCAGTATCCATTAGACCCAAGGAAGGATTTATTTCAAAACTTAAGAAATGTTGATTTGATACCAGGTGGTATCAAATTCAATCAACTTCATGTGAAATTCATCTGACATAAGTTAATAAGGCTTATTATGGAAAATAAGTGTTTGGGAGGTTTTTTTATGATATGAAAGCATTGACTCTGTCACCATAAAAATGCCTTGGTTCACACTGTTCTTTTGGAAGAGTGTTAGACTAAGAAGTGTAGCATATTACCCAATTTGGTCATTTGTTTTACTACCCATCTTGGCTCCGGAACCACGAGAGCTTGCTTCCGAAAATTAAACAGCCTCCAAGGGTGACAATATATGTCACTGAGAATGTTCAAAAGAACATGATTCAGTTTCCAAAATTGACTCCAAAAGAGTCCCAGGAATATTTAGAAGCAAGGTCAACAAACTAGAATCATCTCCAAAACATAACTAAGTAACTAATTTCAAGGAATCAGACTCATTTAAACAAGTCAGTCTAAGTCATTTTGTAAAGCAAAAACAAAAACCAACCAAACCAACCAACCAACCAACCAAACAAACAAACAAAAACCCAGTCATCACTCTTTATTCATACCAAGTATTCTACAGTATACCTTCCCTTTTATTTTTAAAATGCAGGCTAAGTTTTAAAGCAAGTCAGTAGGACTTCTGCTTCCATGTGGATAGAACAGATGCATTTCCTCCCTGTTTGCTGTGTTATATCTAACAAAGATACTTAAACATTATATATAGACACACATAAAAAGACTGGAAAATGGAAGAAGGAAGCCAGCAAGGGACCTAGGGACCAAGTACAATATGATGGTGTCTCCTTGGGTTATATATACAGAAGAAGTGGGTAACCAATCAACCAACCAAACAAGCACAAACCTGCTCTCTCTAGCCAAAGGATCAGGAAAGAGGTAGCCTAACAGATGCTTTAGATACTACCTTCTATATTGTTGCTCAACACCATAGAAAAAAACTACAGCCCAACTTCAACAATGTCAGCAAAGGCCAAGTGGGTAGCCTCAAATTCTACCCTCATTAGAGTGCAACAAAGCAAACCAAAATCCCCACCAAAGTGGTATTAGGGAAATCTGAACAAGGTGCCACAGCATTCATCCCCAGTGACTAGTAAAAGCCTCTCCTCCAATGGTGTCAGTGGAGACCACAAGAGGTACTTGGACTTCCATGCTCACCCCAAAGCAATAAGGCAGCTTGTGAATTCTCAGTGAGTAGTGTGAGAAAAGGCCTAATAACAAGTCAGGACATTCAACATTACCCAGTGATAATGTATCAGTGGAAATTATGTGGGCAATTGAAACCAATCCCCACTTATCAATACTGAGGAGCTTTTGCCTCAGGTGTCAACGAAGGCTGAGTGGGAAAACCAGACTTCCATCTCCACTCAATAACAAGTCAGCACCCTACCCTTCCTCAGCTGAAATAGTATCAGAGAAAACCAGCTAAAACAGGAGGCTGAAATAACATAATGTGAAAATGTCCAGGTTTCAGTTGAAAATGACTGAACACACCAAGAGTCAGGAAGATCTCAAACCAAATGAAAAAAAAAAAAAAGATAATCAGTCATTGCCAACATGGAGAGGACAAAGATGTTGCAAGTATCTGATTTTAAGGAAGTCATCAAGAAAAGGTTTCAATGTCTAAATACACTGACATAAACAAATGGAAAAGTAGAATTCATCAGGAAAAAAATGTAAGTCTCAGCAAAGAAATAGAAGACTTAAAGTAGAAACAAATGGAAATTTCAAGAAGCAGCAACTCCCATAGGATAAACCCAAAGAATCCAAGCATAGACGAATCATAATTAAAATTCTAAAAACTAAATACAAGTAAAAATATACTTAAAGCAACCAGGGAGAAATGACAACATAGCTAGAGAGGAAAAACCTTATGAACAATAGTGGATAATCTCATCAAAAACATGGATGACAGAAGAAAGTGGCATAATGATTTTCAAGTGTTAGAAGGAAAAATCTGTTAGCCCCAGATCCTGTAACTGTGGTAATATTCTTCAACAGTGGAAGAGAAATCAAGACTTTCACGAATGAAGGACAACAAGGACAATTTATTGCTACCAGAACTCTCCTAATATAACGTCCAAAT